GTGGATCCCACTGTACGACAGGAGGCCGAGATGCAGTCAAGGCAACGGAAACATGCGGATTCACCGGCATCAGGTCGGTTCCGACGGTGACCGCCAGCAGAGCAGGCCCTTTGTGCCCCGTTCCGACAGTGGACGTCAGCAGAGCAAGCCCTTTATGCCCCGTTCCGACAGTGGACGTCGGCAGAGCAAGCCCCTTATGCCCCGTTCCGACAGTGGCCGTCCGCAGAGCAGGCCCTTTGTGCCCCGTTCCGACAGTGGCCGTCAGCAGAGCAGGCCCTTTGTGCCCCGTTCCGACAGCGGCCGTCAGTAGAGCAGGCCCTTTGTGCCCTGTTCCGACAGTGGCCGTCCGCAGAGCAGGTCCTTTGTGCCCCGTTCCGACAGTGGCTGTCAGCAGAGCAGGCCCTCTGTGCCCTGTTCCGACAGTGGCCGTCAGCAGAGCAGGCCCTCTGTGCCCCGTTCCGGGTTCAGGACGGCATATGACCGGCCCATGAAGGGCTCCGTCATCGCTGGACAGTAACACAAAGACCAGACCCAGAACAAGGTACTGCCTGCGATACATCACAGGACGCCCAGGCCAGCGAGCATCAACGTCCTACTTCACCAGGACAACAGCCCACACGCAAGGCGCGTGTTGCAGTGGATTCCTTGCTCGAGGAGAAGCAAATTGAAACCATCCCGCACCCATCCTAATGCCCAATACTGATCCCGTCAGACTTCCGCCTGTTTGGAACTCTGACGGACTGCCTCCGTGGACTTGGCTGCCCGTCTAGGATAGCGCTGAGAACAGCCACTTTCCAGTGGGAGAAACAATGCCCCGGAGGGCTGCTTCGGCTCTTTCGGAGCTGGTTGACTCGGCACGAGGAACGGCGCGGAGACGGAAGCAGACCCCGTCCAGCGTTGAGTGAACGTTCAGCCCTCTGCATTAATCAATCATTTGTTGCGAGTAAAACGTCTGTAACTTCTGAGACGCACCTTCCATACCGCGTTCCGCTCTGAATATAAGACCTGACACCAACAGCGAGTGCTGTCGCTGAGGGGCGCGTCTACATTAAAGCCACTTTAACCCCCTGCTCTGGCGGGGATTCCACTGCTCATTCCCTTTTTAAAAGATGCCCTCTCAGGTGTTTTAAGGCCGGCGATTTTTCTTTAACATTAATATACCATCCATTGTGTTAAAAACTGTCTAAACGTGCGCTTCCTACAAACGCCAGTTTCCTACACCCATCAGAGGCCGCTCCATAAGGGACGGCCTCCGGGAAGCACGCTGGGGCGAACCGCCGTCTGCTCCAGGCTCCAATGAGCCGCGCTCGGCCCTCAGGCTACACCCGGCGGAGGCCCGGCTAACGTGACACATCGCGAGGCTCTCTGGCTACACCCGGCGGAGGCCCGGCTAACGTGACACATCGCGAGGCTCTCTGGCTACACCCGGCAGAGACCCGGCTAACGTGACACATCGCGAGGCTCTCTGGCTACACCCGGCAGAGACCCAGCTGAGGTGACACATCGCGAGGCTCTCTGGCTACACCCGGCAGAGGCCCGGCTAACGTGACACATCGCGAGGCTCTCTGGCTACACCCGGCAGAGACCCGGCTGAGGTGACACATCGCGAGGCTCTCTGGCTACACCCGGCAGAGGCCCGGCTAACGTGACACATCGCGAGGCTCTCTGGCTACACCCGGCAGAGGCCCGGCTAACGTGACACATCGCGAGGCTCTCTGGCTACACCCGGCAGAGGCCCGGCTAACGTGACACATCGCGGGGCGTGTTGCATCGAGACGGATCACATTAAGGTAATGTGTGTGCTACGTGTGAGCTGCCAGGTGCAGATTTGAGAGCACTAGGGCGATGAGTCTGGACCCCATGCTGTCCACATGAGCCCGGCTAAATGACTCATGCCAGGAGACAATGTCATCACGCCAGAAAACATATGCAAAAGCTTGGTATAATGAAATAAGTCCACTTAACATATCACGCACACACATACCACACTGCATCTGCAAACACAATGTCCGGTGATGAGCACTGTCAGATCTGTGACGCGCAATCATTTCTAGTTCAGCCACCCGAAACATGGTCATGGTTACCTCGTTCCTTACTGCAGGCATCATGCACATACATTGACAGTAGTATTGTAACACAGGCGAATTAACAGTGACGGGATCGAGCACTCTGGACGGGACTGTCCGATGTGTACTGCAGTAACGGGATCGAGCACTCCGGACGGGACTGTCCGCTGTGCACTGCAGTGACGGGATCGAGCACTCTGGGCGAGACTGTCCGATGTGTACTGCAGTGACGGGATCGAGCACTCCGGACGGGACTGTCCGCTGTGCACTGCAGTGACGGGATCGAGCACTCTGGGCGGGACTGTCCGATGTGTACTGCAGTGACGGGATCGAGCACTCTGGGTGGGACTGTCCGATGTGTACTGCAGTGACGGGATCGAGCACTCTGGGCGGGGCTGTCCGATGTGTACTGTCTGGTGTCGCGTGCGACGATCATCTTCGCCGGGACCATTGCCAGACATTGGTATGAAGGAGAACGAATAACGGTGGGGCAGAACTGCACGCACCTGAGGTTCCGGTCCAACTGCTGAGACTTAACACGTGCCCGGGTGGCTGGCTAGATACCCTTCGCTCGGGTGGGGCGGGGGTCAATTTGCCCCCCCCCCCCTGAGATCTCGGAAATTAAGAAAGCTAGAGGTACCAAATTTACAGGGTGTGTCGACCTGTACGTGAATTCACTTAGGTCAACCTTTTAAGTTCCTAGGTCGTGACCTTCGGGTAAAAAATTCAAACGAGGTCAAGTTCCAGGATAGCCTCCAAAGTGCCCCCAGAACCTAGATAACCGTTTCTAAGCAAAAGGTCACATGCTCATTCAAGACCAGTGATCTTGATCAACCTTTTGAAGGTCAAGGTGACTAAAATCATACAAGATTGGTGAGCTTTGCATTTCACTAAGCGACAAAGATTACGCTAGGTAGTCTACTCCTAAAACAAAATGCTGACCGGGGTCATTTTAGGTCAATGACCTATTCTGACCTCTAAGAAGTCCATGGAAGATGTATAATGCAGCTACTGCTATCAATAAATTCGAAATAAGCACCAGAAACTGTCCCACACAGCAAGCCCAAGAGTAACAAAACAGATTGTTTTTGACCTTGGTGTGACCTTCATACCTGACCTTAGGTCAATGCAATTTGCTCATTCCACTGCTGTGTTGCCTAAGAAAGCATCTCAGGGATGTATGACGTCGTCTAACACTCCGTTGTTGGATCAGATTGAAGGATTCCCTAGAAACTGCCTTCGCTGAAACCATGGCCTGAATTTGACCTGCCATAGGTCAGCGACCTTACAAGTTACATCTAAATTTTTGATGCCAAACGATCCGCTATTTCATTGCCTAGAGCTATGCAAAACTTGGCGCGGCTACGCCGCGCCGTTCGGAAACCATTCTGGAAAAACCTTCGGGGGGGGGGCAATTTCACCCCCACCCGAGCGCGTGTTAACACGCACAGGGTTTTTCACACGCAACCGGCACACGCACAACACAGGACTCTTCGGAGTTTCAGCTCGGCGCTCGGACGGGGCCTCACTAAGGGCTAGTTTTGCCCACTCATGGCTGGCGTATGCAGTCTGTCCCAGACGAACGGACATTGCGAAGATGTATGATAAAGCGAGAAAGAGGATAAAAGGGTGGATGAACGTCACTGTATCTTGGAATCTATGCAAGAGTGTTTGCATCCATGTCTTCCGTAATGCACAGGCCGCCATTAACCCGACTACATTTTCTTTTCAACTCTCATACATGTCAAAGGGGTTTACGCTCCGGTGGTCAGTTTGTGCCCCAGGCCGAAAGAAAAGAAGGTGTCAGGGGAGATCACGCCGACCCTGCAGAGCACTGAAACACTGAAATTTCCCACACAAAATGGGGCCAATACAGCCCTCCTATCAAAATAAACATGTTGAAACCTGTACTGCTGCACAACTTTTTCATTATTTTGACATAGGACTGAATGGGGCACGAGCCTATATCAGGGTGTGAGCGTCCTCTGCTGCGCGGATCGCTGCGATATCCGCTGAATGGGGCACGAGCCTACATCATCAGGGTGTGAGCGTCCTCTGTTGCGCAGATCGCCGCGGTATCCGCTGAATGGGGCACGAGTCTACATCATCAGGGTGTGAGCGTCCTCTGCTGCGCAGATCGCCGCGGTATCCGCTGAATGGGGCACGAGCCTGCGCCATCAGAGCGTGAGCGTCCTCTGTTGCGCAGATCGCCGCGGTATCCGCTGAATGGGGCACGAGCCTACATCATCAGAGCGCGAGAGTCCTCTGTTGCGCAGATCGCCGCGGTATCCGCTGAATGGGGCACGAGCCTACATCATCAGGGTGCGAGCGTCCCCTGTTGCGCAGATCGCCGCGGTATCCGCTGAATGGGGCACGAGCCTACATCATCAGGGTGTGAGCGTCCTCTGCTGCGCAGGTCGCCGCGGTATCCGCTGAATGGGGCACGAGCCTCCATCATCAGGGTGCGAGCGTCCCCTGTTGCGCAGATCGCCGCAGTATCCGCTGAATGGGGCACGAGCCTCCATCATCAGGGTGTGAACTTCCTCTGTTGCGCAGATCGCCGCGGTATCCGCTAAGCCTTACTCGCGACTCACCATTCCATGAAGCGGGCCAGTGATGCCGTCCACCGGAGATTTCTTATTCGTCAATGAACGACAGGTGCAAATCAGTTCTCAGACAGAAAGACTCCTCTGCAGGGCCGGTGCACGGCGCCGGAGCTGACATCCTACAGGTTTCTTTGCGGGGCCGGTGCACGGCGCCGGAGCTGACATCCTATAGGCTCCTCTGTGAGGCCGGTGCACGGCGCCGGAGCTGACATCCTACAGGTTCCTCCGCAGTCACGTCCGAGTTAAGGCTCGGGTCGCGACACTAATACAGCAGGAAAACATTCAGAACCGCTCTCATGGCAGTGGGCCAAACAAACATGACCCTTACCTCTTTTCTTTTTCGTTTCTTTGTCTCTTCTTCATCTTCTTCCGACTCAGAGTCACTGGAGCTCGAGCTTTCATCCTTCTTCCTCCTTTTCTTTTTCTTCTGTTTTTTACTCTTCTTCCTCTTTTTCTTTTCACGCTTCTTGTTCATCCGCTGCTCATGCTCCTGCGAACCAGTACGAGCATCAGGACCAGTAGGAGCAGTACTTGTCAGACTTAAGCGAGCTGTTTTACGGTGACAAACACTAAATGCGACAGAATGCAGGCTTCACATGTACATAAAAGCCTACGTCATTATCAACGGGCGAGGGCGGTAGATGTTCGCTTCAACAACCATAATAAGGGTGGTGGCGTTATCATGGTACATGGCTTCGGACTTATTCAAAACATTAAGACCCCGTTGAGTGATAAAATCCAAACAGACATTGACGCCGTCCAAAACAGCACCACATCACTAAGTGCAGGCTGCTGAAATTCCTGCTCCTAAATTCACAGCAACCTAAATCCCTTGGTAGTTGACATTGCTGCACATGATAAAGTGATGACTCTTTGTCCGGGTCTTGTTGCCCGTACCCTCTTTTGGGCGCCAGACCACGTACATGTATCACATGACATGATTTGTAAAGCGCTGTTCCATAAAGATGTTTTTTGAGTATCATAGTGCGCGCTGACGCAATTTCATAAAATGGGATATATAATCATGCGTTCCCACGCCAAGTTAGGCCACATTCATCACACAGAGAACTGAGTCCATTTCTTATCCTGTCATTACCGCCCCCCCCCCTCACCTTGGGTCATGTCCCCTCCCCTGATTCCAGAGTCCGGCGTCTCCCTCGCCATCGGTGCCCCTTCACCCACTGCCACCAGGGGGCAGGGTCTCTCCCGCCATCGGTGCCCCTCCACCCACTGCCACCAGAGGGCAGCGTCTCTCCCACCAACGGTGCCCCTCCACCCACTGCCACCAGAGGGCAGCGTCTCCCCGCCATCGGTGCCTCTCCACCCACCGCCACCAGAGGGCAGAGGGCAGTGTCTCTCCCGCCATCGGGGTCCCTCCGCCCTCTGCCACCACAGGGCAGCGTCTCCCCCGCCAACGGTGCCCCTCCACCCACTGCCACCAGAAGGCAGCGTCTCCCCCGCCAACGGTGCCCCTCCACCCACTGCCACCAGAGGGCAGCGTCTCCCCGCCATCGGTGCCTCTCCACCCACCGCCACCAGAGGGCAGAGGGCAGTGTCTCTCCCGCCATCGGGGTCCCTCTGCTCACCGCCACCAGAGGGCAGTGTCTCCCCGCCATCGGTGCCCCTCCACCCACTGCCACCAGAGGGCAGCGTCTCCCCCGCCATCGGGGTCCCTCTGCTCATCGCCACCAGAGGGCAGCGTCTCCCCCGCCATCGGGGTCTCTCTGTTAATCGCCACCAGAGTTGGTGTTGTTAATAAGGGTTTGGGCACGCCGACTGCATAGGTCATATTGCGCCAATAACGTTGTCATTTAGTTACAAGGTGAATATATAGAGCGAAGTACGATTTTTGCAAGGAATGAAAACAGTCGGCCATCTTCAAGAAGTTACGAGTGATTACCAAGAATGTCACTTAGCGTAAGGGAGGTGGCATTTCGCCCAAGTAAAGCATACGCTCCCGGGCGAAAATGTGGACACAGCTAACTACGTGGCGCACGGCGAGAAACGCAGTGCCACGAGGACATCGGCGTCTCTCACCACCACACAACAAATACCGGTGAGTTTTGTACGTATAGCCAATACACAACCTGCAAAGCACAACTTCTTCTCCCCTCGAATCGCGGAAGCTGGAAGACCACAGGCCCAATTCAGGTTTCATATGTTCCAATTTGCAACACTGCCCTCTATTTGCTAACGCGGGGATTTGCTATTTGAGTCACCATTCCAACAGAGCTGCCACCTGTGTTGCAAGGAAGGTAAAATGGCTGGATAAAAAATTCGGGCTGGAAGAGGAAATCTGCACGTACATGGTGCATGTGATGCGCTTTTTGCGGCCGCGTCAACGAGCTCATCTCCAAAGATACCGACATGACTGGGAATCCAACACAGCGTCATCTTCTTTCCAACTCGGTCCAATGCAGTGAGACGTACCAAGATGTCCTGTAAAATGGGACATGATGGGTTGAACGTTCTCAAGGCCAAGAGGCCGCTCAAAGAATCTGTTAAAACAATTTGCAACGACTCACTCCCAACTTCAGTAACACGAAGCGCCTTGATTATAGCCACCAGTTCGGAGGTGAATACTGACGCGCGCCTTGGCAGTGTCAATGGTCGAGTGACGGGTCCACTCACAAATGCACAGCCGACACCGTCCGCAGTTTTGGAACCGTCCGTATACGTTATTGTGTGCCCCTCGTACGACGCCACGTGCTCTAGCCCCATGGAACGGAACAAGTCAGGTGTCAGGGTATGTTTCCTTGTTTCAACGAGCGAAGTGTCTGTAACGAAGTGTCTTAAACGCCACTTAACGTCTGTAAAAGGATGTCTTAAAAGAAGTCAAAGGGTCTAACACTAAAAGCACGAGATTAAAAAAAAATGTGCCACCCCAGATGAAGCACCAGATATCTCAGATCTGGAGCACTGTTCCACAGACCCGTGCCCCAGCCTGGGGCGGGACCTTGGGCTACCCCCGTCACTTGGAGACAGGGGTCCAGATGGGATACGCTTGGTGCCGGCATATCCCGTGCGTGGTGGCGGCGGAGGAAGGGGCCATCACTGAGCCCCTGCCCACCCCCTGGTGCCGTGGTGGAGCCTCAACCGGTCTACGTGGTGAGGGAGTGTTGATCCGGGGGGCCGACTCCTTGTCCGCTCCTGACAGCCTATTGGCTGCCTTGGCCCGCTCCTGCTCAGCCAGGCATGCCCGCTTGGCCTCACGGGTGCGCCTGCCAGCTTTCTGCCGCTCCATCGTCTCCGCTGCACGCTCACAGGCACTGGCGAGGGCTGTCTGCCATGAGCAGACCAGTGGTGTCTCAGACGAAGGAATACCCGACGGCGCGCGAGGACTGCAGCCACGCCGAACCGCCGTCCGTCATTCGTTAGCGACCCCACCGGCAACGAGGAGGTTGGCAGCGCGGCGGCCACCGGCTGCTCGCTTGGTGGGGAGGGAGCTTGGGGTGCTGGCTGCGAGTCCAGCGCGCTGGCTGAGGGTACATCTGACGGGCCAAATGACCTCAGAAGTTGCAGGAACTGAACAGCCGTCATTTCCTCGATCGCATTAGTGTGCGGCAACGAAGCTTTCACTTTCGATGCGTACGACATTTTTGGGTGGGTTTCGTTATAAAGTTCTCGAGCCTCACGGAAGGATACGTTTTCAGAAGTTTCGATCGATATGATTTCCTTCTCCTTGGCGTAGGCTGGGCATGCACGGTCGTACGATGTATGCTGGAACCTGGTCCTTGCCGCAGTTGACACAGTGGGGTTTGTCAGAAATACAGACTACGCTCATGTGCTCGAGGGACGCACATTTTCCACACGCTGCGCAGTTCCGACAGTTGGATTTGGTGTGACCAAATCGCTGGCACTGATAGCACCGCATGGGGTTGGGCACAAACTGACAAGCTTTCAAGCGGACGTACCCCACACGTATCTCGGACGGTAAGTCAGGGCGACTGAACGTGAGTTTAAGGTTGGTGGTGGGTACCAACTCTCCTCCCCTTCTAACAAGCATCCGCTGAGCGGCGGTCACTCCAAACTCCAACAGCTCCTCCACGATCTCCTCCTCGTCAACGTCACGCGGATCAAAGCAGTTCACCACGCCCCTGGACGAATTTTTGGTGTTGTGTGGTGTCGCTGACATTGGGACTGTTTTTTCCCGCTTACCAGCCCCATCTCGAACACTGTACGAAAATTCAGTTGGTTCCATAGCCCGACTCGCCTCCAAGTCACTAGCAAATTCAACTTCTATTTTTCCATCCCGGAGTTTGTCACATCTGATAATTTTTCCGAATCTGTCGCAGCCATTTCGTCTCTGCAACGGTGACGGGGACGCCAACCTAACCTCATCACTTTGGAAGACGAGGATCCGTGGTCCGGGGGTAACAGAGTCTTCTCTGCACCCTTGGGTTATCGTGGTCCGACCCCCTTTCGGAGAGCGGGCGTTTTAAAAGTTAGAGGATGCCATGCAAAATAGGTTTTTCTTTCGGCACCGGGGCTCCCCACCCACCGCGGAGCCCAACTGGGGGACGGCCCAACACTCCGTCGGGGGATGGTCACCGCCAGAGCTACCCCGGTGTTATACGGGGCGAACGACGTCTCCCACACGACCAGGTGTAGCCGGGGAGACCCCTCCCCGTCCCGACCGTGTTTCAGCACCGCCACCCTTTCACCCCGTAAGCCGCTGCGCACGGCCAGGCGCCCCAAGCGGAGACCCGCACGGAGCACCCAGCCACAGTGCAAGCGACAAGCCGCTAGACCCGTGTGTGGCCCCACGGGCCCCCGGATATCCTGGCAGAAGTAGTGTTGGGACGCGCCGCGACTGACCCGCACGACGGGCCTCTCAGTCACCAGGATCCGATCAACCCGGGGACGCGGGCGAGGAGGCACGGCGACCCCGATCAAACGAGGATTAGGAGTGATGAGTGGGCCGGATGCGAGGAAGCAGGTAATGGGAAGGGAGCGGGCGGGACAGGGAGCAGGAGCTCACGTACCGGCAGGGTCGCTACGCCCTGAGAGGAACAGCCTGCGCTGCCCGCCCATTACCGGAGCTGGGACCCGACGGGGCGCTAGTCCCCTACACCAGCCGAAGCTGGTGCCCCTGCGGGGCATCGCCAACAGAGGACAGCGTCTCCCCCGCCATCGGCGTCCCCTTTGCTCACCTCCACCAGAGGGCAGCGTCTCTCCCGCCATCGGGGTCCCCTTTGCTCACCTCCACCAGAGGGCAGCGTCTCTCCCGCCATCAGTGTCCCCTTTGCTCACCTCTATCAGGGTGCGGCGCCGCTGCCGTTCGCCGTCGTCGCTGGGCGGCTCCTCAGCCGGCTCGAGGACGCCCTCCTCCGGCGGCTCGTCGTCGGGCCGCGTGGCCGGCGGCAGAGTCAGCAGGTCGGCCGCGTTCACTGCTCGGCCCGCCTCGCCCGTGCAGTACGAGTTCTGCGGCGGCCCAGCGCATGGCGGTCACAGGCGGGCAGGCAGTCAGGGCAGCTGTGAAGACTGACACCGACAGCGGCCTCAGAGGCGCCGCAAACCGTCACAGCTGTGCAGTCAGGGCAGCTGTGAAGACTGACACCGACAGCGGCCTCAGAGGCGCCGCAAACCGTCACAGCTGTGCAGTCAGAGCAGCTGAGAAGACTGACACCGACAGCGGCCACAGAGGCGCCGCAAACTGTCACAGCTGTGCAGTCAGGGCAGCTGTGCAGACTGACACCGACAGCGGCCTCAGAGGCGCCGCAAACCGTCACAGCTGTGCAGTCAGGGCAGCTGTGCAGACTGACACCGACAGCGGCCTCAGAGGCGCCGCAAACCGTCACAGCTGTGCAGTCAGGGCAGCTGTGCAGACTGACACCGACAGCGGCCTCAGAGGCGCCGCAAACTGTCAAAGCCGTGCAGCACGGTGGTGAAATGTGAGGCGCTATGAATACTGATGAAAAATACTTGGGCAATGAATGCGAAGCAGCTCACTCGCTGTTTCACTCCTCTACACCTTGCTGAACAAGCTCCACACCTTGATGAGGCTGTGGCAGCACTTGAAGCCCCAGCGTCCGTCGCGCCAGTAGCTGCCCCAGACAGCCGTGTGGTTGTTGATGTAGACGTCCTCCTCATACTGACTGCGAATCACCTCCTTCTCAGCACCCTGACAGCAGCGATCGATAAAAACATTCAGTCATCCCACCTCTGCCTCAGAACTATGAACAAACACCTCCTCCACGCAAGACAAATAACAGGATTACAGGAGCATGCGAGAACATTTCTGCAGGCCCAGTGCCGCACCGACACGAAGCGCCACTGCACACCGCGACCCACTGAAGACAGGCTGCACATGGAGCAACTGAACCCATCACTAAACGGTACTGAGTGTGACGGCTGGTCAAAGAAAACTGATCAGCATTTAGGGCAAACGATGATGTCACCAAGATCAAACACGTGGCCCCCAGTCGCCGTCAACAAGGGCGCAATCACCAAACATCAAAGCTGGCGTTGAACTGCAGTCGATTGCCTTGTGCCAGAAAGCCCCGTCCGTCCTACCTTAACAATCTTGCCCTGGCGCGAGTACTCGACGTAGTGCTCTGTCTGCGCCAGCAGCAGCTCCTTGGGCGGCGCGTCCAAGTGCTCAGCGCCGCCGTAGCGCTCCAGTAGGCCGCCACGCGCCGCGCCTTTCAGCTCGGCGCGCTTCTTGCGATACTCTTGCTCCAGCTGCTCCAGCTTGGTCGGCTCGGCCAGCACGTGCACGTCGACGCCGCTCTGGTGGGCGTCCCAAGCGAACATCTGGCTGGCCGCGTGCCGCGACGTGTCGCCAGTGAAGCGCACGAAGTTCTCGCCCTGGTAGTCGACGCTGCGAGAAGGCAGCGGTCAGAGCTCAGTTCTCGCCCTCATATTACACAACGTGGCAGGGAGGAGTCAAGCAATACTTCCCACTTTGGCCGCCCATTCTCTGGGAATGGCAGGGTCAGTATAATGTTCTTCCCCTGGAAGCCCGTTGCTCGGAGGTAGGAAGAGCCGCCAGATGGGGCCCAGGATCGTGCCTACCCTGCGACTCGTCTGAAAAATGCTCATCAGATGCACCTGGCGGACATACGACTTCACTTTGGCGTGCACACAGTTACTGCGGCAATGGCCTAACTCATGGAGGATGTTAAGAATTTTTCAACAATCAAGAACTTTTAAGCCTTCTGACTCTACCCCGAAAGGTTTTGCACATATCTGTGCAGCCAGCATCAGCAGGCCTGGCCCGTCCCCAGCCCGGCCAGTACTCACTCCTTATTGCCGGTGTTTTCGTACGGGTTTTCGCGCATGCTGCGCGTTTTGGGGTCGTAGTAGGCCGACTCGAGTGCCAGGTTGCGCAGATACTTGGCCGTGTCCTCACGAATGCGGAGGTTGCGCACGGTGATGCGCTGCTTCGAGTCCACCTTGGTGCCGGGCATGTCCACCCCTTCGGCGTACTTCTCGTCATCCTCCTCTGAGGCGACGCCGGCGTCGTGCTCGGTCAGCTGCCGGCACAGGCGAGCGGCGCGTCACCAGCCGCGCACATGCGGAGCTGACGGAAGGCTGCCCGTGGCCCACAGTTCGGACAGGGCTGACGAAATTATTCATGGCCGTTTGACCAATGATTTCTCATAATCATTGAAAGACACATCAAACGGCAGCGGGAGATCGCCATGCTTAAAGATCAACTTCAGGCAGAGCAAATTTGGAGAAATATCAACAGTGAGCTTAAAAGTAAGCTCCTGACTGGCTCACCAGCGGCAGACGGCCGCTCGTCACTCCCGCCCGACAGAGCAGATCTCAAAGGCTGCACACACCTGCACGCCTAACAGATCAAACACACTGCTTCAAGAGGGAACCCATACAGAAAGGTTCAATAAAAACTGTCACATGCCAATGTCGTTAAACATTGCCATAATCTGTTTTTGATAGGTCACATCGCAGCAATGGGGTAAAACCGATAAACGTCTCCCCCTTGGTTTCCTGCTCTGTATCGCACCTAAAAAAAAATATGGAAAAACTCACTGAAACAAAGGAAGCTGGATGACACTCATCAAGTTGCAACAAATACTGCTTACTGCCAATGAAGATCAAGTCAGTTCATGAAACATCACATTGTTTTCAAGAATTTCTGCATTTGGCGCCGCAGAAAAAATACAAATGACCTTTTGGCCATAATAGACTGAAAAGCTGTAGGTTTGCCTCAGTACACATACATAAAGCAAACATTTCATTCAAATTACAAACGTCCTGGTGTGGGACATTTCAGAAAAGTATGACTTACTGTTCTTGGGCAGCATTATACCAAACAACTGTATTGGAGAGAAACTGTGCGTTGTGTTTGTGTACTGGGGAAACTCACAGATGAAGTGCATATATGTATATATATATATATATATATATATATATATATATATATATATATATATATATATATATATATATATTGAACCAAACATATGTTTCCTGAACGAGACATGTTCAAAGTGCACCATTTACAAGATCGTGAAGTCAGCGTCAGGTCGGCCCGCTCTGTCCTCGCCACAGACCCAAGCGTCAGCGTCGGGTCGGCCCGCTCTGTCCTCGCCACAGACCCCAGCGTCAGCGTCGGGTCGGCCCGCTCTGTCCTCGCCATAGACCCCAGCGTCAGCGTCAGGTCGGCCCACTCTGTCCTCGCCACAGACCCCAGCGTCAGCGTCAGGTCGGCCCGCTCTGTCCACATCGCAGACCCCCAGCGGGACTGGAAGTGCAATGCACCGTACCTCCTCGCCGGATGCGCCCGCCTTCAGCTTGTTGGCCTTCAGCTGTCGCTTTGCCTCCTCGATCTTGCGGTGCTCCTCCAGGATCTGGCTGTGGTCGGACGGGTCGTACCCGTTCCATCGGTCTCGCTTGCCGTCAAAGTCGAGCGCCAGGTGCGGCTGGACCGGCTCGTCCGCCGCGATGGCCGCCCCTATGGCAGGGCACGGCAGATCAGGTCAGGTCAGGTCAGGTACGGCCCAGTCTCACCGCCGACACACCCAGCTGAGCTAAACCAGGTCGGGTCAGGTCACGGCCTGCCAGTCAGGAGGGACCGCTGGACAAGTCCCGCTGCCACACCGTAGCGCAGACGACATAGTTACAGCAGGACATGAGGCCGCAGACAGTATCACGGGAGCAGTCGGTATGTCGCGTCTGTACGCCTCAGTGCCCGTCTGTCGCGGATGGACCCCACCCCGCCAGCTGTCGCGGCGACCGGCCCACCTGTGAACTTGGCGCCAGGTCTTGCGTGGTCGCTCCATGCAGTCCTTGCGCTTATGCGTAACGGCGCCGCAATTCTCGCAGGCACCCTTGCGGAACTTTGTGACGACGCGCGACGAGTCGACGCCACGGTGGTACCATTCGTCCAGCCGCGAGAACTCTTTCTGTCGCTCTGGCTGCGGCCGCTGATGCTTGAGCGTGGGCCCTGTCTGGCCGAAGTACCAGGGCGCCGCCGATATGTACTGCGGGATGTGTGGATTGATGTCCTTGCCCTCTTCGTCGACGGCGGCGGGCACCGTGCCAAGCTGTGTAGAGGAGCAGCGTCACAGGCGGCCGGGCTGAGTCGTCTGGTCACGGTCTGGTACCGCCCCATGTCCGGCCGGGACCGGAGAACTCTGCGCCACTCTGTATCACCACCTCACTGGTGCTACTCCACACCACTCTGTACTCTGACCATGCACACACACACACACACACCACATCACAAAAACAAGAGGGCCACCTCCTGCGGACTGTTCTTGGAATGGGAAACCCAACCCATGTTAATGTGACAAAAATGTGCAATCTAATGGGTCTGATGAAGGTGGTTGTTTCTGATGGCTTTTTCATAGATAGGACACAGGGGGCCAAGACATAACAGCCGAGTGGCTGAACCATACAGAGTCGTGAAGGGGCTCAGGTTCAATTTCTCACAGAGTTGAGACTAATGAGACTAATTTCTCACAGAGTTAATACTCATGACTAAAAGTAGAAACATTACCTTTCTGGCTTCTTCCAATTCCTTGGCCTGTTTCCATTCCTCTCTGGTTTTTTTCTTTGGCTCATCATTGTCAGCAGCATGCTTGTTTCGGATGATCTCAGATACAGGAGCAGTGGATGATTGTGCCATCCTTGCTCTTGACTGCGGGCAAACAACATATGCATGGGATAGTGTTATCATAATGGTCTAATGAAATCAATCAACAGTGTTTATATACAGTTCTGTCCATAATGCTGTTAACCAAATGCACAATAATTCACTTTACAGTATTCCCAACAAACAAATAAGTATCTAATCAAATGGAGTCTGGTTCTTCACATAATAACTTAACAAATGTTACAAAATGCAGGTTACACCATTGTTAGTTCCACCACAGACCAAACTTTGCAAAAAGCATGGCCACAGAACAAATCACCAATGCACCAAGGGACACAACATTTATTTCATTCTCTGATTTCAACAACTTTAAAAATAGGGCTACCTTTGTCCCATATTGCATCCACTGCATTGTAAAGTGTCTGTGTTCTCTCCCCATCCTCCAGGTTCTAATAAAATTTGTGAAACATGCCTATATTCAACCTATATTAAATGCATCTTATTTCCAATTCCTTACATCCTCTCTGCTCCTCTAGCAACACATTGGCTTTCTTGAGTTCAAATAAATTTGTCAAAGAGGTTTTTCTGTATCATGTACCACACCAAAGTGATTTCATACTTTAATTTGTGCAATGCTTTTTCAGATTTGATGGATTCAGCACTTTGAGCACTTTGGGTCCTTTATTGTTCTTGTGACCTTTTCTTACATCCATGACCTTTTCAAGACATCATCTTCAGATTTTATTTTTCTACTCAAAGATGCCCAGAATTTTTATGAGGGATAATTTCTAAGTCTTTTTGTGTTTCTAACCTAGAATGTGTCATGAGGGTGACTAGTCAGGCCATGTCATGGCCTTTAAACATTGGTGCATGTAACATGCAGCATGGGTTACACAAATGGCATGCTAATCAAAAGCTTGCTTAAGCCATGGCTACAACCTACAAGGGGAATTTGGAATGTAGTCTGCATAGGTACAATTATGACATTTTTGTACATGATGGTGATGACTGCATAATTTAAAAGTCACTAACATACAATACAGCCAATGACATTCATTTGTCACATGAACCTGTCAGCCAAAGTTAAAAACCAGTAGGCAATGAGTGAGAAATGACCCCACACTAGATACAAAAAAAACATTAACTTGGGTGCAGAAGCAGGCAGTGACATCCAGGCCCATATTTCAGGGTGTGTACACCATGAACACTCAGGAGTTTGTTTGACACCTGTCACCATTTTAAACATGTAGTGCCAAAATTTAAGAAGTTAGAAGCTGGGAAGGAAGACCTCTTTTCATTTTTTTGGAAATTCTACAAAATGATCCTGGAATATTAGTTGTGCTTAAGTAATTAGAAAATTCAGAGCAATGAGTCTTAGCCTGAGTTTGATGTACACAAACTTGAGGTTCAGCACACCATGTTGAGCAGGCATCTGGTGCAGAGAATGTATTCTTTGCAAGCTGGATGCTATTGATGTGTTAACCTTCACACCATCCAGCCCATACTGTTGTATGCCAAATCCCTTCTCGCTCAGCTTCTTTCTCCACACATGCGTCATTGGAGCTTCATATTTTCATAACACAGAAGCATATCAGCAACCCCAACATAATTTTTACGCGAAGTCCGTTAACGATGAGCGAGACGTTGACATTTTGACTTCCACCCCCACTGCGAAATCCTGTATGGTTCCTGGTATGGTCCATTCTACTCTGATTCAGATCATACAAACCCTCGGGACTTACTTGCTTCCTTTCCTTCCCGCAGATCAAAAGGAATAATTACAGGCAAAGCGGTGTACGAACCCACAGGCGTAGCCTCTCGACACTGGATATGGCGCTAAATACAGAATGCCTGATCCCAACACACGCGCACCAGGGCTACGCGACCTCTCCGGCAGCATCGGCCATACGTAGGACCGAGGCTATCAAACGCAGCTTCTGTCAATCTAGCAGCATATTGATATCCAATTGCCAGTTGGATATTGCGGGGCGTCTCGATTGTCTTGAAATTTGGTGTGTGGGGTCTTCTCAACACGCTGATTCCGAAAATTACTTGCCTTTGTGGTGGAATTTTGCGTAATTTTTGAGTTATACGCTGCGTAACATCCCAATGTGATATTGCGGGACGTCTCAATTGCCTCCAAATTCGGTGTGCACGGCCTTCTCAACACGCTGAATCCGAAAATCACCGCCTTTGGGGTGGAATTTTGCGTAATTTTCGAGTTTTACGCTGCGTAACATCCCAATGTGATATTGCGGGGCGTCTCGATTGCCTCCAAATTTGGTGTGGAGGGCCTTCTCAACACGCTGATTCCGAAAATCACTGCCTTTGGAGCGTAACTTTGCGTAATCTCCGAGTTACATGCCGCGTAACACAACAGTTGAATATTGCGGGGCGTCTCGATTGCCTTGAAATTTGGTGTGCAGGGCCCTCTCAACACGCTGATTCCGAAAATCACTGTCGTTGACGTGGAATTTTGCGTAATTTCAGAGTTAAACGCCGCGTAACATCCCAATGTGATATTGCAGGGCGTCTCGATTGCCTTGAAATTTGGTGTGCAGTGCCTTCTCAACACGCTGATTCCGAAAATCACTGCCTTTGGGGTGGAATCTTGCGTAATTTTCGAGTTTTACGCCGCGTAACATCCCAATGCGATATTGTGGAGCGTCTCGATTGCCTCCAAATTTGGTGTACAGGGCCTTCTCAACACGCTGATTCCGAAAATCACTGCCTTTGGGGTGGAATTGTGCGTAATTTCCGAGTTATACGCCGCGTAACACAACAGTTGGATATTGCGGGGTGTCTCGGTTGCCTTGAAGTTTGGTGTGCAGGGCCTTCTCAACACGCTGATTCCGAAAATCACTGCCTTTGGGGTGGAATTTTGCGTAATTTTCTAGTTATACGCTGCGTAACATCCCAATGTGATATTGCGGAGCGTCTCGATTGCCTCCAAATTTGGTGTGCAGGGCCTTCTCAACACGCTGACCACCGGTGTGTCGACGCCGCCGGCCGGCCGGCTATCAGCTGGCGGGCCCGCTGACCACCGGTGTGTCGACGCCTGCCGTCCGGCCGGCTATCAGCTGGCGGGCCCCCTGACCACCGGTGTGTCGACGCCGCCGTTCGGCCGGCTATCAGCTGGCGGGCCCCCTGACCACCGGTGTGTCGCCACCGCCGTCCGGCAGGCTCGCGAAGTGCAGCGTCTCCACCACGGTCAGGAGCAGCGGGCTGATGTGGCCGGCCAGCCAACAACATGGGCATGGCGTGCACAAGTAGCATGCGCTGATACACCAGCGTCACCAGTGTCCGTGGGGGATAAGACAGACGGTGACATCACCCAAATCTTCATGCTGCAGCGGTGAGGCACGATTGGTTTGGCCACCAGTGACATCTTGTCAGTTTTTGGTCAGGACAAACAATGCCCGTGACTACGTCGGACTATTACTCAACCACCTCAAAGGTCAGAAAAGAAACAAAGCTGAAAGGGATGCCACTGGGTGAAACCACCAAGTCAGTGATATCACATACCACACGGTTATCACTCACATGTCGCGAACTGACCTTCTCCAGGAACTGATACGGACAGGCCCAAAGGCAAATTCCAGGACACCTATTCCAAAGCGCAACTGAGGTGTCATGCGTCGCATACCCCGGAAGTTACGCAAAATCCCACCCTAAAGACAGTGATTTTCGGAATCAGCGTGTTGAGAAGGCCCTGCACACCAAATTTCAATGCAATCGAGACGCCCCGCAGTATCACATTGGGATGCTACGCGGCGTATAACTCGGAAATTACGCAAAATTCCACCTCAAAGGCGGTTATTTTTGGAATCAGCGTGTTGAGAAGGCCCTGCACCCCAAATTTGGAGGCCATCGAGACGCCCCGCAGTATCACATTGGGATGTTACGCGGCGTATAACTCGGAAATTACGCAAAATTCCACCCCAAAGGCTGTGATTTTCGGAATCAGCGTGTTGAGAAGGCCCTGCACATCAAGTTTCAAGGCAATCGAGACGCCCCGCAATATCCAACTGGCAATTGGATATCAATCTGCTGCTAGATTGACAGAAGCCATAGTGATGCGTAGCAGCATATTCTTGGTCAAGGCTTTTATGACGCGGGGATGCGCCGTGATGCTGTAGCTGTACGCAGTCAGCTGAACAGGGGCGGATCCAGGATTTCGTCAAGGTGGGGGGGGGGGGCACGCGATGTGGACCCCCCTAGAGTTTGGGGCCCTCCAAAAAATATCCTTGCATTTTGGTCGGTACATTTTAAGATGGTGTGCTAGATGTGCTACGTTTGCATATATATAGAGTTCATTCATGTCCTACAGATCATGTTAATTCCTGTAACTTTGAGGCCAAGTATTTAGGAACAACAGGCGAAATTAACTCGAGTTGGCCGTTAACAACCATAAAAACCAAGCACGGGCTTGACTAATTCCTAATTTATTTACGGCCAGCCGGCTGGGCGATGTTATCAGCTGATGACTGATGACTAATGCAAAATTTTTTCTTTGGTATAAAGCAGTACAAAATATTCTAGCATTCAAAATACGTTAAGAACGTGATGCACTAGTATATAAAGCGTCACACGCTAAATAACAAATGAAAATGAAACATACGATGTCGGTGGCACGTAAAAATACGTTCTACAGTTGCGCGTAAAAATTCATCGATGCATACCTGACTACGGCTCTGAGTCGAAGGCACCAAGACCATCCCCATTGAGTTATCTTGATGGCTGGTCCCCAGTCCATCGGATAACTCACGGGACGAAGCCTGAGCGATCATGGGTGCCGCAGGAGGTCAACAAAGTGGTCCCAGTCAACAGCTATATGGTCCTCAGGGCAAGCAAAAAGAATTCAAGACTGACGTGGTGGGCCCCTGAACGATCGGTAGCGCCCCGACAGGCTGACACATAAGGCCCCAGCCAGAGCACAGTACCCCCTAAGCAAAGGAATTATTCAAGACCGTGAGTTAATACCCTTGTGCGATTAAGAGTACATGGGCAGGCTAGCAGACAGAGCCTCGATAGGAGTGAAGAATCCTCCGTAAACGAGATCAAAGGGAAAGAGCCCTCAATCAAAGTAGAGGGCCCCTGAGCATCGAGTGTCTCAGTGACTTACCTTATAAGCGCCCCAGCAACAGCACAAGCCCCTGCATGCAAGTGGAAGGAACCCGAGACTAATATGAAGGGTCCCTGACCAACTGAGTGTACCCTAGCATATGGGGCCCGGAAAAGCATATAGAGCCTTTCGGGCGAATGGGAAAAATTCGTGGACGAAAACCTGCATCGACCAAGAGTGACCAGGCATGGAAGCAGATAGCATCCCAACGACAGCGTTAGGCCCTATGATAAAATGCAAAGAGATCAAGGAAAACGTGGAAAGCTTCTTAGCGGTCAGATTGACCGGCAAATGGATATAAAGGTTAGGGCAATTAACAGAGTAACGCTTCTATACAGCATAATGAGCTCCGAAACCTCCCCAAACAATAGCTTCTCATCCAGCGAAGAATTAAGTTAGTGTGTTTATAAGCTCTTTACTTTTACTAGCAATTGTTTTTGACCGTCCGTAGGCCCAAAGGCGTCCAATTTTGTCGTGCTTTTGTTGTTAGAAAACTGCGTCCGTTCGGTCGGTTATGGGCCCCTTCAGAGCCTTTAGGTCCCTCGGCATGGTCCATGAGGGAGTGGTCCCGTGCCTCCGCCAACGGCCCGAGCAGCTTAACACGTGCTCGTGCGGGGTTGAACTTGACCACCCACCAAAGGTTTTTTCCAAAATGACTTCCGGACAGCGCGGCGCAACCGCATCAAATTTTGTATACTCTGGACAGTTGAATAGCGGATCGTTTGGTGTCAAAAGTTTAGATGTATCTTGTACGGTTACTGACCTACGGCGGGTCCAATTCAAGCCGTGGGTACTGCGAAGTCGATTTCTAAGGAATCGTTTGATCTGATGCAACAAATGAGTGTTAGACAAGACCGTGCATCTCTGAGATGCTTTCTTGGACAACACAACAAATGAATAAACAAATTCCATTCACCTAAGGTCAGTTTTGAAGGTCAGACCAAGGTCAAAGACTGCCTGTTTTATTACCCTAGGGCTTGCGGTCTGGGGTGGTTTCTGGAGCTCGTTTCGAATTCACTGATGGCGGGAAACTAATTTTACATCTTGCATATACTTCTCAAAGGTCAGAATAGGTCACTCACCTAAAATGACCCGGGCCAACATTTTGTTTTGTTAGGAGCATACTGCCTAGTGGAATCTTTGTCGCTTATTCAAATGCAAAATTTGAAGCAGTCTTGTACGATTTTGGTCAATATGACCTTTAAATGGTCAAACAAGGTCACTGACCTTAAATGATTTTATTTGATCTTTAGCTTAGAATAGGTATCTTGGTTATGTGGGGCACTTCGGAGGCCAGCCTGGAGATTGACATTGTTTGATCTAATTTGACCCGAAGGTTATGACCTAGGATCTCAGACCTTGACCTAAGCGAGTTCAGGTACAGGCAAACACACCCTGGAGTTTGGTATCCCTAGCTCTCTCAGTTCCTGAGATCTCGGGGGGGGGGGGGGAGAATTGGCTTGCCACACGAGCGAAGGGTATCCAACCGACCACCCGGGCGCGTGTTTATAGATGGGGTCCGCCAAGAACACAGGCCATCCATTTAAGTAAGAAATACTCACGACATGATGTGTGGGGCTCCGAACGATCAAATGTGTCCAAGCAGGTTGACATATAGGGCCCCCGTCAAGAGCGCAGGGCCCTCCATTCAAATGAAAAGTATCCAAGACCTAATGTAGAAGGCCCCCGAATGATCGAGTGCGCCCGGGCAGATTATCAGATGGCTTCGACAACCAAGACCCAATATATAGGGCCACCGAACACTCCGGCGTGGCCGAGGAGGCGAACAGATT